ACTGAAGCAGGTGGTTTTCTTAGGGGGCCACACCCCGAGCCTTTGACCCACAAGGCAGTGGAGCATCGTAAGGAGATGCAGTCCCATGGTAGCCGGTGACCAACGATTGATTCATACTCCATTTGTTCCATTAGGATACTGGAGTCAGCCCATGTGCACCATTGGTTTGTAATGAGGGTTTTCCAACTACGCTAGATAGACTCGCCGTGTCCACCGACCCGGTTACAGCACCGGACATTCACTTTTCGTTTTCTCAATTTCATGAACAACATATACCACGAGAAGGCAGTGAGTAGGACTTCCCTGGTAGAGACCATATACGCATGGCCATGTGAGAGGGAGAACGGACTTTCCCCACTCTCGACCGTACCAAGGTACATCGGCCGTAGCCAGAGCTCACTTTCAACTCGGATACGAGAACATATCCCACTTTGGTTCTACAAAGATAAAAGGAAAGCAGTTAGGAGTTCTATACTTGAACACCTAATCGACTGTAATCATTCTACGGATCCACAGTCTTATTTGAAAATTGTTTATATGATTCATTCAAATCTACCTAGATCTCTTCGTATTCAACTCCTAAAAATAGCCGAAGCCCTTACCATCCATGAGCTTAAACCAGAACTATGCATACAAAAGAAGTACGTCTTATTGTTATCGTTACCATGGCCTTAATATTATTATTACTGCATTCCCCCTTTACTTATGTCTTATATTCTCATTATTTTCTTCATGAATACTCTTCATATCACCTTTTTATTTTTGCACCTCTATGACCTTTAATTATTGTAACCAAAAGCATTTTAATCATCTTATTATATTCACTAAATCTATTGTCAATATTTGTGTTACGTAATCTAGTACTATAATCTTCCTATTACGTCATCTTGGTTATTAGTGTTCACATTTCTTCACGGAGTTAGTACTTTAACAAACATTTTCATATATATATATATAGATGAGTTCATGAGTCAATTGAAGCTAGACTACCATGGATAATCTGGAAGCATTGGACGGCCGTTTCGTCATATTGTGGGACGCCTCGGCAGTGCGCATCCACGATCCCGTCTGGCGAGATTCGGACCCAGGACCTATCAGTCTCGAGCCATAGCACTTAACCTTTAGACTACTGAGCCGGCTGGCATCCAACGGTGTTAATGTCTAGGAAGGCAATACGTTTTAACCATTAATGGCAACATGGTTATTACTCGTTTATGGGATATTATCACGATTACCATCCGTGTGCATATTTTAAGGTATCAGTGCGCAAATGGAAGACTTGTAATTAGAAAAACTTCACTTTGTTCCACTAATCCTGTTTTGCTTTGTTAAAAAATTAATAATCTGAGGCCATTGCTGAAGGTTTGATCCAGTATTTCAAAAAAAGATCATTTGTGAAGAGCTAGTTTTTTGACATTATCATTAGTTATACCGATTGATAAAGTATTTTCCATTCAATACACAAATATTGCAAATTAATGTCTCTTAATGGACGAATCATAAATTTGGCAGCAAAGTTACCAAACTATCCATCTCAGGTAATCTGATAACGTTTCCAATGTACCAAGGTGAGAGATTATGCAGGTCACCGTGCCTGAGGAGGTAGAAATATTACTGGTATATAACCAGTTTTTTTTTACTGCGTGTGATCCATATCTACGTAGCTAAAACACAAGGTTTAATCAATTGAGACCTAAAATTCAATCAATCACAATAGTCTCTCAAGGTTACTTAATTACGGTCAGAATGTTGATTGGTTGATTTGAATTGAGCCAATAAGCTTGTATTGAGAGTTAGACACATCTGTATGGCTGGCCATGCTTTGCATAATTTTCCCCTGTATGAATAAAGTGCTTAAATTTAGAGGACGCATTGATCTCGTATTAAGTTACTTGAATTTCAAGTTGTTTACGTTCTTTTATTTGAACGAATATGTTGTTACCAAATCAACCTGCTCCTGATTTTGAAGGTACTGCTGTTATTGGCACGGAATTACGTCCAATTAGTTTGAGTCAATTTCAAGGAAAATATGTGTTACTGGTATTTTATCCACTTGACTTGTAAGTCAAATGTACTTGTCATTTCTCAACAATTTTACAATACTCCATGTAATTATATTGACACACCAATGTTTTCCTTTCAGCACTTTTGTTTGTCCCACGGAACTAATTGCATTTAGTGAAAGAGCTGCTGAGTTCCAATCTAGAGGATGTCAAGTAATCGCATGCTCAACTGATTCAGTTTATGCTCATTTGGCATGGACGAAATTGGATCGCAAAGCTGGTGGTTTGGGGCAAATGAATATACCTTTGCTGTCCGATAAAAACCTAAGGATATCACGAGCGTACGAGGTTCTTGATGAACAGGAAGGTCACGCATTCAGGTTCGTTTTATTAATTGATGAACACATGTCTGCTATGTTTATTATGTTGAAAATGTCACACAGGTGTGTTATCATATTACAAAAGTCTAACGTCGTGTCATACTAAGTAGTGTTGGTAAGCCTCGAATTTCCAACCCGAATATTGTATACAACTCAGTAGTTAGAGCATACTATTTATTCAGTTGGTATGTGAAGAACTATTCATTCAACTATGTATTCGTTTACCACATAGGTTAACATGCTGTTGGCTGCACTTGTAATAGTCACTTATTTGCTAACATTGCATAATTAATTAGTTAGTTACCTTCCACTTGGGTTTTTCGATAGCGTTCCAGACAGTCATCGACTTACAAGATCGAGAGTCTTAGTTGAACAAAGTCGTTTTGTAACATTCTAATCACTTGGTAATTCATGAAAAATAGTAAGCGGTTTTGCATTATTCTCATCTAGACGATAGTTACATAAAGGTGACCCATATCTTGAGTTACGTCTTAGTCTGTGTCCATAAGCTGATCCCGTTTTTATTTGTTTGTTTTTAGAGGTATGTTCCTCATTGACCGCAAAGGGATTTTACGTCAAATTACTGTTAACGATCGCCCTGTTGGTAGATCTGTTGATGAGGCGATTCGTCTCTTGGATGCTTTTATTTTCTTCGAGAAACATGGCGAAGTTTGCCCAGCGAATTGGAAACCAAATTCAGCAACAATAAAACCCGATCCTGTTGCTTCTCTCTCCTACTTCTCCTCTGTGCACTGAGATGTTTTGTATTGATGTCATATTTTAGTTAACATTAATAAACAGTTTCTGTCATCTATCTAATGCTTTTTGTATGGAATGCATTTTACGTGTAGAACGTTGGACTATCTGCAAGGAATAGCTTGTTTGCTACGATGTAATAGTGATGATGGCATGTGTAGTGATTTGTTTACTTTTCCTCCCTAGGTGATTTGCACCATCTGTCCACGGATAGGAACTGAGCATATGCGTCTTTAATGGGCTTCATCATGTTTCACAGAGTCTGATTGTGTCTCATCTCTTTTCATTCGACCTAGCTTGTGTCTTCAAGGTGTGTGGTGACTAAGTATTTAACGTCAGCGTGCGTGATCGATTCACAGTATGATTTCACAAAAACCGTGAAAACTTTAAGGTATCTGGTGGCTTACCTCAACCGGATATGACATTTTTAGTTCAGACTGATACTATGTCGGTTCAACTCGCCATAAGCTTCCAAAAAATCACGTTTATACCATGATTGGTATGAGTAAGCGGAACTTCACTGACACAAATGTCCCCAAGACAAATCTATGTTGTAGTCACCACATTCCCCGCCATTTCATTAAAAAAAAATAAAGTTTGTGTATCCTAATGTTATATTAAATGGGTAGCTCTCGACGTTTAAATCATTCATTGGCAACACAAGGTATTGCACTCGGGAAGATTTTTCCTGGTAACTTTACCTAGTAGCTCTGTACTTGAGACCGCTACTATATACATATATCTTTGAGATGACTCTCAGGAAATAGTAAGGGTTGTTTATGAAGATAGCTCATTGATGGAAATCGTCCTTTCCAGGTGATTTAAACTTTCCGATATGGCTATTAAAACTACAAGAATTAGTCGAGGTCGAGATGACCGTTCATCACCAGTATCGACAATGACGTTAAACCTGTGTAGGTCGGCTGCGAACTCCAGTTTTTGATTCACTGTCCGAATGATCTCTGACAAAACGAATTTGGAAATACCGTCTGTACACATATTCTATCATAGAATTTGAGTCTGAATAGATCAAGTAGGATGAAGAAGTGACTGGAAGGATGACTTGACCAATAGAAGCGAAGATGAACCGGTTGTGTAGAGACAAATAAGAGGTATTTTGAAAGCTACAAGACTGATGCACCCTGGGTTCTCCATATATATAAATCTTAACTGGTTAGATTTTTCAATTGCTATTCACCATATGACTAGATATTGTTTTATTCGAGGATTACACATGAATCTAAAAGTGGTTTTTTCTTATCGGGTTGTCATCAGATGCCAAAGTGTTAATTTACTGGTTGAACAATATTCAATCACTTGGTCACAATTTTCGAAAAATCCCACTCTACTTTGGTTTGTGCAGTCAAGTAGTAGTGCTAACTCTAATACGAAACAATATGTTCGAAAAAAATACATCCTCAACCCTGGCCGATTCGTGATACTGCACAACCATAATCCATCCCTATTAACGATGCTTGTTTCATACCTGGTATGGTCGAATGAAGTTAGGAATCACAGCAACTCTATGCCAACTCGGTGATTGGGAAGTTGAGCTCAGGCCTCGGACCCTGAGTGCCCTGGTGTTGTCTCTCAATTACGTTGAGACGTGTCTCATACTAGGACAATACAACTATCCAACTCTTTCCGGTTTCTAGTAGTTGTCCAACTAACGGCAATCCGCAATTTATAACTAAACGGACGAACACTAGGGTTATTATCGTAGAATTAGTTCGCCAAACTTTAATTCTATGGTTATTTCACATTGGTATGATAGTAAGACAATGATTTTAGAGAGCAAGATATAGTTCGTATTATAAAGATAATCAACTCAATTCCTTTATGAACTGATTTTCAGACTTACCAGCTTTAGAACCATCTGAAATTCGTGATCGACTAACAGTTCCATCACGCGGATAGTGCATATCTTCTTTCGCGTTTGGAGAAAGAGGCGGTGGAGGATGGCGCCTGTGACCCGGAAGTTCATCGGTTACTTTACCTGGTGTTTCTGTTGTAGTCAGATGACGACCACCCCGATCAACTGAAACGTACAAGTATTAAGGCGAAATGGGATAATGAAAATGAGAAGTCATAATAATATGTGATTTGTGCATCTAGATCTATATTTAACAACAAATGTTGACTTTCCTGATATTTATATAATTATGATGATCACGTTTTATGTTATGGTATGCAACATTTGATTTGGGTTAAGTGTATTGGTTATTAGTCAGACTACAAGTCCACTGATTTAGCTAAGTTTCCAAAGTGGAGACAATCCTAGGGATCATTATTCTGTTAGGTTTTTTTTTCTTAATCTTTCGAGTTTTAGGTAGTTTTTATGTGTGATCAATATTAATTGGAATACTATTGTAAACTACAGAGAGTTGAACAGCTATTTCATTCTAGATTCTCTAGTAGTGAACACTCACGACCTCATCAGGGATCAAACCTAGGTCATTCAGCTATCTTACTGAGCGTTTAATCTGCAAGTAATTGGATTGAAATCTGCATTTCTATCTTTTTTTAGAACACAGTTAAATGCAGACTGGATTTGTTTATTTATTAATTAATAATGTAACATATCGGAAAATTTATTTGCTCAAATTACCTGGTTCCCTTCTAGTATTTGGAAATTAATTAGTCAGTAAATTAATGTATAAAATAGCTTTTAGCATAAAATGCATGCTAGTTCTGTGTATAATGCATAGTTAAAACAGCTTATATATTTTCTCTAATCTCTTCTACATCCACTTTTCAATGAAGTGAATGAACTTATTAGGACACTATTACTACAACTATAGACTGTATTCAAACTTGAAAATACATGGGGGAAGAAACCAAGATTAAATAATGGTATAGTTTAGTCGGATAGTTTGTAGAGATTAGTTCAGTTTGACTTGAGTTAAAGATGTTGTTCACTGCCCCCAAATGACCTGGTACGGCTGAGAGTGAGGAGAGTCAGCTCTACCTTTCCAAATGCTCTCACGTGTACAGCCACTATCGGGGAAGTCCTACTCAATACCTTTTCGCGAAGGGGATGCTGTTTGCAAAATTGAGAGGACGAGAAGCAAATGTCCGGCACTTTAACCGGGTTGTTGGACACTGAGAGTTCATCTACGGTAGTTGGAGAACCCTGATTCTAAACCAATGGTGCACATGGGCTCCAGTATCCTGAAGGAACAAATGGCGTATGAACCTTTTGTTGGTCACTGGCCATCATGGGACTGCATCTCCCTTCGTTGCTCCACTGCCATATGAACCACACCTTTAGGTCGAATGCTCGGGGTGTGGCCTCCTAGGGAAACCACGTGCTTCGATTTGGTCACCCGGGTAGTATCGTAGCTCACACACAAATCAAGTGACTTGTGTGGCACATATGTATTCGGTGCCCTTTAGTACCAATATTTATGTGTTTGAATAAATGAATGTTGGTCTCTGAGTTTAATATCACAGGTTTTAAGCTATTGTGTTCACTCAGAAAACTGAAGTTCTTGTGCGGGATCATAGGTGAAGACTCCCAAACACTAGAATGGAAAATGTCTGGTGCTGTGTGACTTCTAAAGGTTCTTCGATTGATATACCAGTTTATCAGTCACAAGTAAAGTAAAACCTGGCACATATATTTGTCAGTTCAAGTTTCCACGCAATGACAGCACAGAGGGATGATATTACCAAGACAAATGCCAGAGTAGGAAAAAGATTAGGTATAGATAACATGATTTGATAATAAAGAGTGGGTTCACGGTATACAAAGTATGAGATAATTTAAAAACTTGAGATCAAATGAAAGACAATGTGAATGCATCTATAGCCCCAGTCAAATAGTTTGCGCCCACCAACGTAGTTCAATCCTACAATCAATGACTTCATGGATTAAAATCATGTCTTGGTTTGATCACCCCAAGGATAATCATTATAATAGATATGTGAAGTGAGTGAAGCTGTAAAATGTGATTCTTTTAGTAATAACTCATTCGTTTTCCGACATTGTACTCGCCTTGAAGCTAAGCGGTTTTAGTATATTCACTTCTATGTGGACGTTGTTGATGCGTACTATTGACAGAGATCCGAACAGCTATTATTTTTTACAGAAAACCTAGTTTATTTATGATTTTGTCAAATTAAGTCGAGTATTTGATAAAATATCTCATTATCTCCCATTGAATTGCTAGCATTTATTAAGGGAATAGAAAAATTCTATATCTAAACCCTAATTAATTGAAGCACAACGTTTTCTTAGTCAAATCATAATGGATGCCGGTTCACTGGTCTAGTGGTTAAGCGCTCTGGCGCGGGACTGGTAGATCATGGGTTTGAATCTCGTGAGGCGGGATCGTGAATGCGCACTGCTGAGGAGTCCCACAGTAGGACGAAACGGCCGTCCAGTGTTTCCAGGTCTTCCATGGTGGTCTAGCTTCAATTGACTCATGATTTCACCTATGTGAAACATAATGGAAATGTTACAAACAAAATGAAACAGTAAACTGACTGACACAATGAAATTTGATAATAACAAAAATAACGGTACAAGTCGAGAATATTGTTACAAATAATTCACCTAGTGACAACACTCGTAGTGAAAAGATAGACTTAGATAATTAGAATATAATTATTTGTAGTATATGTATATATTAGCAAATTATTATAATTTTGAAGCTTCAAAAATATTTTGAAATTATACTCCAACTGTCTTTACTTTAGTTGTTAAGGGGACTGGTCTATTTGGGAATGGTTAATTTGAATAAAGCTACTTATAGGATGATCTCTTTTAGTTATCAAATTTCATGTGAGGTCAGCCTATTCGCGTTATTATTAAAATGATTCTTGGTTAGTGTAAAAGAAATAATGCAGGAATATTGGTTGATTGTAGAAATGATAAAATCTTTGTCGACTGAATTTTACAACTATTTACACTATTAAACATTGATAGTTTGTGGAAAGAACTACATAATTATCCTATTATGTAATTGTATCGTTTCATTGATATATTGCCCTGGTACGGCCGAGAGTGCGGAGAGTCCGCTCTCCCTCTCGAAATACTCTCATATGGCCACGCGTATGTAGCCACTGCCAGGGAAGTCCTACTCACTGCCTTCTCGTGGCATTACTGTTGCTTACGAAATTGAGAGGACAAAAAGCGAATGTCCGGCGCTTTAACCGAGTTGGTGGATACGAAAAGTCCATCTAGGGAGGTTGGAGAACCCTCACTCCAAATTAATGGTGCACATACTCTCCAGTATCATGAGGGAACAAATGGCGTATGAATTAATCGTTGGTCATCGGTTGCCATGAGACTGCATCTCCTGATGTTGTTCCACTGCCTTGTGGATCAGATCTTTAGGTCAAAGGCTCCGGGTATGGTCCCCGTAAGAAAACCACCTGCTTCAGCTTGGGCACCTGGGCGCTATCACAGTCCACACATAAATCAAATGAGATTTGTTTGGCGCATATGTATCTCGTGCTTCGTTGTACCAATATTTATGTGTTCAAATAAATAAATAAAAATAAATAAATTGGTTGACTGACTTAATTTGTTGATTGTAGAGATAATAAGAACATTATCGATTGAATTTTACCACTATTTACACCATTGATAGTATGTGGGAGAAACTACGTAATTATCCTATTGAGTAATTGTATTGTTTCATTAACATATTGAATCTGATTCACATTTCGTGTATATAATACAGTCAACGAAAGTATCAATGTACGTACGTACATCAGTTCGAGTTGTCATATCACATTAGCACAAAAGGCTGAAGAGTACCAAACTTTATCTAATGTACCTTAGTTTCCAAATGATTTTCCCGTTGCTGTCAACTTGTGGAACAAAATAACTCAAAATCACAGTCCATACATTTAACATCATTATTAAAATTCTGATTATAAGCATAGATGGATAGTGCCTAGCAGTAGAATCCAGGATGCACGTTTCATCCTATTTGGGACGTGTCTTGGATTCTACTACTAGCCACTATCCATCTTTACTTATAATGCTTGTGAATTAAGGCTATATGGAGGCAACAATACGCACAGTATGCACATATGCCAATAAGAGATTGATCAATTGTAGTGCTAACACATCAATGGGAAGATTCAAACAAACAATACTAAGTGAATTTAAAATTCTGATTGATACCTAATGGATTAGTTCAAATTTAAAGGACGAGTTGGCTTAGTGATCCAAGTATTTTGCTTTTAGTCAGTAGATGGGATAATTCAAATCATTAATAATAGTGGTGTAAACAATAAAACCGTTGAACAAGTTTTTAGGTATCTGGACTTCAGTGGATAACGGGTTGTCTCTCAAATCGAAAGGTGTTAGGCTCAAGTCTTCATGTTAACATTAAACCTAGGATATAGATACATCCAGGTGATAGGTTTTAAATTGGACAAAAATTCCGTTCTAAACTTCACTTTTAGTCCAAATCCACCTATTCTAAAATACTTGAGAAAATTCTTTACAACATTTTATGAAGAACAATAGAAGCTCAGACAAGTTTCCCTACATTTAGTCAACTCTGTTCTACTTTACGGCTGTGAAACATGGCCATTAAGAGTAGAAGATACTTGTCGGTTACTAGTACTTGACCAAAGATGCCTTAGAAATATTGCTCTCATCTGTTGGAATCACTGGGTAAGTAATAGTGAGGTTAGACACAAGGTATTAGGGAATGATGGTAAATCAGTTGATGAAGTCATGAATTTTCATCGACTGAGATGGTTGGGCCACGTGTCACGTATGCCTGAACACCGATTACCACGACGCTCTATGATGACTAGTATTAAGGATGGTTCGAAGAGAGTTAGGGGTGGCCAAACCAAAACGTGGCATCAGTGCTTGAAGTCAATAACTTCCAGTCTGAACCATGTTGATTGGGGTCCGCACGACTATCGTAACCAATGGTTGGAGACTCTAGGTGACATGGCTCAGAATCGATCACAATGGCGTAGGTGTATACACTCTTTATCTTCCCTTAAACCTTGAGATTAAAATTGCTTCATAACTTTCTTCCTTCCTATACTATATCATTATAT